TATGTGTTTTTGTAAAATGCATTTCTCTTTCTAACAATATGCACCTTGATGATCACATCCAGGCAGTAGGCTTGCAATAGATCAGGGGCACCCAATCCTATTTCTGGAGGTCTACCATCCTGCAGAGTTCAGCTGAGCTCTGCAGAAAGGTAGACGTCCAGAAATAGGATTAGTAGTTAGAAACTTGTGTGTTTGATCAGGTTTGGGGCTGAACTATTCTCGAAGGTACATGATCATAGATTTGTAATTAGACAGGTGTGTTTGATCAGGGTTGAAGCTGAACTCTGCAGGAAGGTAGATCTCCAGGAACAGGGTTGGAGCTGAACTTTGCGGAAAGGTAGATCTTCAGGAACAGGATTAGTAATTACAGACAGGTGTGTTTGATCCGGGTTAAAGCTGAACTCTGCTTGTAGGTAGATCTCCAGGAACAGGATTAGTAATTACAGACAGGTGTGTTTGATCAGAGTTGGAACTGTACTCTGCAGGAAGGTAGATCTTCAGTAACAGGATTGGGCATCCCTGCAGTAAAGGGTTAGTAATTTGAGCCTGGCGTGTTTGGTCAGGGTTGAAGCTGATCTCTGCGGGAAGGTAGATCTTCAGGAGCAGGATTAGTAATTACAGACAGGTGTGTTTGGTCAGGGTTGGAGCTGAACTCTGCGGGAAGGGAGATCTCCGAGAACAGGGTTGGAGCTGAACTTTGTGGAAAGGTAGATCTCCGGGAACAGGATTAGTAATTAAAGACAGGTGTGTTTAATCAGGGTTGAAGCTGAACTCTGCTGGAAGGTAGATCTCCAGGAACAGGATTAGTAATTACAGAGAGATGTGTTTGATCAGAGTTGGAACTGAACTCTGCGGGAAGGTAGATCTTAAGTAACAGGATTGGGCATCCCTGCAGTATATGATCTTTTGTGGTTGTTTGCTTCCGAATGTGTTTTCCACTACCTCTGGAAACAGTTGAAAGGGGACAAGCTTGAAAGATTTTAGACTCTTACACTAATATTCACCATCTTCTGCGTGTGATTCATTCCAATGCAAGTACACAGTGTTTACATCAACACTGAAGTATACTTCTGATTTCAAGGAATCGTTTGTTTATTTACAAAAGATTCTATGAAGGTCAATAGCTGTTTCCAGCATTATTTAGAATATCTTCTTGTGAAGAATGAAACTCAGACTCATGTTTAGGCATAAAGGGTAAGTAAATGATTACAGAAGGTTAATTTTTGTGTCCCTTTAAGATGTCTTTTACCATTTTGGTGGAAAATGGGTGTTGTACTCTGTTGTAAGTTTGTCCTAACTTCTCTTTTTTTGTCTTTCTAGGTGGGTCCAGCTGGCTCTCAGTTCGGCATCTTGGCCTGTCTCTTCGTGGAGCTGATCCAGAGCTGGCAGATTCTGGCTCAGCCGTGGCGCGCCTTCACTAAACTGCTGTGTGTCGTGCTTTTTCTGTTCGCCTTCGGCCTGCTGCCCTGGATTGACAACTTTGCCCACATCTCCGGCTTCATCTCGGGCTTCTTTCTCTCCTTCGCCTTCTTACCGTACATCAGTTTCGGCCGTCTGGACATGTACCGCAAGCGCTGCCAGATCATCATCTTCCTGGTGGTGTTCCTCGGCCTGTTCGCAGGACTTGTGGTGCTCTTTTACGTGCACCCTATTAAGTGTGAGTGGTGCGAGCTGCTCACCTGCATTCCCTTCACCGACAAGTTCTGTGAGAAGTATGACCTTAACGCGCACCTCCATTGAGGGAGAGGCGGGGCTTCAGGGACAGAGGGATTCAATTGGCCGATAATCTGCAAATGTCAGACCCCTGCTGTCCAGATGCACTTCATCTCTCCAAAATGAAGCCCTATCTGTGAACATGGACAGTATGCTTGTGTTTTTTTCTACTCGACTTTGACCATGATTTTAGGACTCTGAGAATGAAGAACGCTTTATAATGTACCCTATAGTTTTATGTAGTCTTTCAATAAGGGTGTCTGATAATCATGCGAACACAGGGTCACCCTCTGCCGGAAACTTTCTTTCACACTACAGTCTCAGAAGGCAGTGTCATAATAAAAGCACTGGTACACCAAACGGAGAACACCCGTCTTCTCCTAGTTGATTGTTGTACTTGTATTGTTTTAGCATGTCAGGGGGTAGGTTTGTCTTTGTATAGTCGACCTCAGAATCCAGGGACGAAAAAAAAAAACTCTGTACCTTCGGTGCCTTGATAAATGTACCTACTACTGCCATATTTTCGTTACACGTTGAGCACTCAAATGATATTCTTTTATTTGTGTGTTACTTCTAATGGAGTAATGGTTGATTGTGAAAGGGTAGTGTTTTAGCTACCCACTTTACTCACTTGTTACAGAATACAGCTAAAAACAATCTGCACCACTGAAGTTTGTCTGTTTTTTTCTATACTTGTCCCTTAACCCAGTCTAAACCATGGAGGCTCATTTCCACCTCAGAGTAAACATTTTGACTATACTTGACTATGTATGACGTGACTTTATTTCTCATAATTGCCCATCTTAGTGTGACGTAAAGGTGCTGAATGAAAGATTTTTACTCTACTAAAGCATAAAAATATCATAAAGTGGAAAAATTGCATATTTCATTCATTCAGTCAGAAAGACTTTCAAAGTGTGTGTCCGTGACTGAAATGCGACCTCCAGTGCACAGTAGCAGACTCCGAAATGAGACACAGATTCAGAATTCCACATGAGGTGGTTATTGATTGGCAAACAATATAATTATTATGAACGTTAACATTAGGTGAGCAGGTTACATTGTAAGCCTGTGTCATCACAGCATGCTACATGACAAGATTTGCAGTGATAAGCTGTTTGCGCCAGACGAAACGTGACAGAAATTTAAAAACAGCCTTTCAGAAGCACAGAATAGTGCACTGCACTCAAACGAAACGGGAAATAATCCTTCTATCATGTGCCATTGCTTTTATTTAGAACTCAGTTTAAATCAGGCTTCAGACTCGATTGTCAGGCACACTCCTTTTGGTGTCGTCAATCTGGCAACCTGCGCTTGCCTTTGTTTTGAACTAGGAATGCAATACATAGTTCAACCACTGGGTGTCAAACTTACATACTGCACCTTTAATAACACATAATGTGACTTAAATATATCGTAAACCAGTGGTTTCCAACCTTTTTTGCCTGAGACCCCTTTTTCCCCAGAAAATATTGTAAGGCCCCCCTCCACATGTAATGATATAATCGCTCATATTAGTTTGCAGTAATGATGACAATTTTTTTTTGTTTTCAAACAAACAGTATGTTTATTGCTATAGATATGTTTATGCACAAATAATAGCCTAAAGCAGGGGTCACCAATCTCAGTCCTGGAGGTCCGGTGCCCTGCAGGGTTTAGCTCCAACTTGCCTCAACACACCTGCCTGATTGTTTCAAGTATACCTAGTAAGACCTTGATTAGCTTGTTCAGGTATGTTTAATTAGGGTTGAAGCTAAAATCTGCTGGACACCGGCCCTCCAAGGCCGAGATTGGTGACCCCTGGCCTAAAGTTTCCCAGAGATGGGTTGCAGCTGGAAGAGAATTCGCTGCATAAAACATGTGCTGGGGTTCAAAGAAAGAAACTTTATAAAGACGTCAGTTTCTTGCTAATTTTGCTGCTTGTGGGTTAAATTTTGGCGCTCAAGTGACCGACCAAGATGTAAGCACGAGAATATGGTCATTTTTCAAAATAAAAGACTTTTCAAAATAAAAGATCGTTCAGACTCAGATAATAAATAAAATGGAAATAATTAATGATTTCCTGTGCGGCCCGCTTCCAGCTGATCCACGGACCGGTGATTGAGGACCACTGAGCTAGGGGATAAAATGAACTAACGCAAAATGATCATTCTAATTGTCCACTACTAAGAATTTTTTTTTAAATATGACGCGGCCCCTCACAAAGCTCGCTGAGGCCCCCTTGTGGATCGCGACCCCCCTGTTGGGAACCGCTGCCGTAAACTACATACATTTTCTCAGTGACTGAAATCTGGACTTGATTTCTTGCAAATAGCACATTTTCATGTTGCAACATGACTTCATATTTTAACAATTGTAAATCTTTCTTGCAAAATTAATACTTAATACCTCTCTAGCTCCATTTATACATGCTCTTAAGAAGCCTTTTCATCGATTTAATCACAAGTGGATAATGCTAAATACACACTGTAAAAAGCAATTAGTTACAAAAAGTCAATTAATGGTGTAAATGGGTGTAAAACATTTTGAGCTTCGAATCCTAGTCAAAAACACGATAGACTAATCTAGCTGTGTGGTAAACCTATGGTTAAATGCGTTTAAGACACTAAAGACCATCTTCTCTCCATCTACTGACCAAACGTGATCCTTTTGGGACATGTTGAGAAAGTAAAACAAAACAAGATATTTATAACTCACTGTTTTACCAAAAGACCGAGTAATCTTTGAAATCGAACTTTCCACCACATCATTTTCATCCAATTGACTTTTTTGTTCATTGTAACATGAGTTTGTTCATTTGTTTTACTTGCGTTAGACTGAGTGCTCCCAAAAATGATTGAGAAGGAAGAGTCTCAACATCTGGAAATTTTGAAGACTGTTTCTTCTTAATTGCACAACTGCAACTGCATCTTAAAAACCATCAGTGTGACTTTTTACACTATTTTAAATACTTTATACTCTGAGGTGGAAACAGACCACTATACTAAACCATGTATCAGTTTAGAATAAAGGTGTCAAAGTCGATTCCTGGAGGGCCGCAGCTCTGTACAGTTTTGCTCCAACCCTAATCAAGCACAGCTGATGCAAGACTTTGAACACCACGATGATTGGATCAACTGTGCTTGATCAGGCTTGGAGAAAAACTGCAGAGCTGCGGCCCTCCAGGAATTGACTTTGACACCTATGTTTTAGAACAAGTTCTAAATAATATTAGGATGGTACAAATGATTAAATGTGCTCGCAGAAACAAAGAAATGCGCATTCAGAAAACAGACATTACAATGAAACAGCTTTATGGTTCGATTTTTATTTTAAATTGATTCGATACATGAAAAATGGCACGACTAATGACACGATAAACATTTATGGACATTCTAGTTGAAGTTTACATCAGTTCATACACTGTATATAACTCGCGTTTCAACACACACATCGGCACATATGCAGTAATATATTAGATTTGAACAGTGTACAACATTTCGCTTTAATGTTGCAATCCAAAGGTTGGAGTAATATAAAAAAATAAAACAATTTCTCAGAATTTCAATTAAATTTTGTATGTTCCTGATGAGACGTTACATTTAGAATGGCTGATTTCTATTTTTTAATGTTAAATGTTATTAAAGAGTATCATTTTCTATTGACTAAACGCATTTTTATTGAATATTGTGATGATTATTTTTCTTTGGGGGAAAAATAAAATATTTATAAATGTTGGAAACTTGTTTTTTTGGCCAGTAAAGCATGCAGTCTATCTCAACGCAGTAAACCACCAACATCAGCATCTGTCCAAACCCGAATGCCTTGATCTCTTTAACGGAGGTGCATAGGTAAGTCTCTGGCTCTTGCTCAGGTGTTAATAGGGCTTTGAGTTCTTGACTAGGTGAACCTTTGAGCCTGTGATCGCCGTCCAGAATCTACGCGTGCTGTCCTTTATCCGGATTGGATGTGCTTTAAGCTAAAGAAACTAACATCCGCTGTTTCGTCGTGCATAAGCCAGGCCTCCGAGCTGATACTCCATCTCTGTGAAGGTCAAAGCCGCCACAGAGATGGCCGATGGGCCCTTTTCCTTAAAGCCGGCTTTCTGGTAGAAGGGCACCAGAAACTCTTCGCAGACCAGCAATGCCCGCCGCAGACCAGGCAGACAGCGCAGGTACTGGAGGTAACGCCACAATAAGATGGAGCCTTTGCCCTGCTGCCGACAGTGGCGGTGCACGGACAACACGTGGATGTGAACTGTTGGAGAGTCCGGCACGTGTGTGCTCATAGCCTCCTGGATGATCAGATTGAAAACATTCATTAGGAAATTAATACTCAATGCTCTCTTAATCAATGGTTTTAAATGTACATTAACTCTTGAGCATCTTTATGGACATTTTCCCATTTAATGGGACTTTTATTTGGCTGTGTTTACATTTTTATTATTATTTTACCTTTACTTCTTTTCAGAAATCATTACAATAGTCACAAAAATATACTTCAAGATTAAAATGTGCTCTTTGAAATCCAATATTTCATCACAGAGCCTTTTTTTTTTTTTTTTTTTTTTTTGCATTTGCATTTGCATTTGCCCCCAGCGCTTTGCATTTTTTTTTTTTTTTTTACTTCATTTTCATTGAAAAAACCTTTATACATTACATACAGCCTGAGTTCTTACAAAGAAATATACCATCAAAATTATTTTGGTAGTACTTACAGTGAATTTACTTACTATAAAAAAGAACGAAAAACCCTACCACCCACCCCATCCATTTAACATTGATCAAAATATTTGTGGAAGGTTCATAAAAATAAAAGGCATATATGCATTACATTTACAATCATATATAGATCTGGCTGGGTTCAAAAATTTAAAATTGAGGCAAGGTGTACATGGACAATGAAACCAAAAGAGACATTATAAAACAATTATAAAATAAATAATGAAATAAGATAAATAGATAAATTAACATACAACAGTCTTGTAAGTCTATCAGTTCCGTCTATCTGCAAAAATGATATGAATGGTTCCCAAATCACAAAGCCGTTAAACAAAAAGTCAGGCATTATTTGTATCTTAAACACTTTAAATTTGTAATATTTTAACATGATTTATGAGGTTTGGTCTGGTGATTTTTTTCCTGTTTTCTGCTTTTGAGCACTAAAAATAATTATATGAGTGTGTTGGTATGGATATCAGCCTTTATTTTGTTTGTTTGTTTGTTTATTGCCACATCAGCATCTCATGGCAAGATTATATATTTTCAATATAGAAAAAACATATTACATAATAATAACTTCATAACTAAATAAAAAAACTACATGAATAACATTAGATATGGGTCGGCACTGTGGCTCAGTGGTTAGCACTGTCGCCTCAGCAAAAAGGTTGCTTGTTCGAGTCCCAGGTGGGCCAGTAGGCACTTTTATGTGGAGTTTGGGTATTTGGAGAGGGTTTCCTCACAGTCCAAAGACATGCGCTATAGGTGAATTGAATAAACTACATTGGCCGTAGTGTATGAGTGTGTGAATAAGTGTGTATGGATGTTTCCCAGTTCTGATTTATAGCTGGAAGAGGATCTGCTGTGTAAAACATATGCTGGATAAGTCATTCCACTGTGGCGACCCCTGATGAATAAAGGGACTAAGCCGAAGGAAAATTAATGAATGAACATTAGATACAATTTTTAGTTCGATATATGATAAATAAGCTATTACATTGTTTTCCAGGGACATATTCTACATTACATTCAGCTTTATACAAGAGTTCACACTTAGCTGATGATTGTTTATAAAGCTTGTTTGGCATGTTGTCCCTGGAGAGAGCCCTGAGCTCAAAAGATCCTCGAGCCTGAGGCTCCCTCCCGTTTGCAAGACGAGAAGGAGAGTTTGAGCTCAGGTAAATCTCGAGAACTCCCCTGCTGTAGTAGCTGATGAACAGATAGTGTTTGCTCTTAAGAGATAACCATTTACTAGGAGCATGTCTATGGTGCTGATTTGGATTATTCAATTAACTTAGGTTGCATGTTTTTTAACGGTGGGAGAAAACCAGAGAACCGGAGAACCCGGAGGGAAACCCACGTGAGCATGGGGAGAATGTGTAAACGCTATACTAAAACGTCGGCTGGCTTGGTAAGGACTAAAACCAGTGACGTTCTTTCTGTGAGTCAACAGTGCTAACCATTGGGCCACCGTGCCACCTATCAAGGAAAGGAGGAGGAGTAGGGGTGGAAGGGGGAATTCTTCAAAACGAAGGTGGCTGTCAAATGGAGCTTGAGGTACTTATAGTGGCTTAGCAATCATCTGATTGCTGAATCATAAATTGAATAAAGCTGAAGCAATCATAAGCAAGTGATCCTCCCCTGAAATTAGTTTATAAATAAACTTCACTTTGTTTGTATACACTGAGAAATGTATACAAATAATCATCTTTTTTAATGAATACATCTTCTAATAAAACAAATAATCCTTAAAACTATCACAATAAAATGAAATTTATTACAAATCAACAATGGCATTATGTACACAAACTGTAAATGAAAAATTAAATAAAATATTTTTGGTTGTTCATATTACTTATGAGCTGAAACAACACAGTTTTTGAGATTTTGTTTTTTTTTTTGTCAACCTAATTATTTTATATTATGTTTAATCCACTTAAATTGGTCATAATTTAAAACTTAACTTAATTCCTTCCTTTTGTCTTGATGCGAATCAATTGTGTGTAGAACCCAGCATTTATTTTACAGGTAAAAAAATCCTTAAAACTGAATTTTAATGTTTGCTAGTTATCATCAGGAGTAGAGATGCACAATATATGATTTCAACATCGATATCACAATGTTCAGAGCACATGAAGTGATGGCAAAGTTTCACCTTAATATAATATAAAGATTTTTTTATGTGCTTTCAAGGCCTGTGACTAAGATTTCAACAAACTATTTGTGCACAAGAACTGATCAAGTCTGCCACTTTAACAAGGAAACATTGTGTTTATTTATACAATAAAGACTACATGCGGAGTTATTATTGAATTTCTGTAACTCAATACACCACCAAAAACCGTAAAGTGCTGTTTATTTAATTTATATCATTGTGTTGCTGTTTCCATCCATTCTCTAATTTTTTATTTTTTATTTGGGCAATTCTGTTGTTGTTTTTTTTGCAGATTAACTTACCAACAAAATCCAAATCAAAGGAAAATTATGAATTCTTATCAAAATTATATTAATATCGCAATATAAATTGCAGAAATAGAAACCATTGCAATGTCTGTTTTTCCTAATATCCTGCAGCCCTCGTCAGAACTGATGCTTATAAAGCAGTCTATGTCAGTCAGTGCTTAAAATGTATTAACTGGCGCACAGGTGTTAATTAACTTGATTCCCGAAAGGCACATCACCATCTTACTCCAGCCAAAGTTTGGCCAAAGTAAGACTTAAACGCACCTTCACATGACCTCTCACCTGTTCTAGTTTCTCTTTATCCCAGCCAGATCCAATGATGAAGGCCACCAGCTGCCCCTCTTCGAACCAGCCCATGGACAGCTCAGGACACTGGCCCAGGAAAACAAGTACCTCATCAAGGGTTAGAGGACATTCACCAGACACCGAGATAAACGCTGCAGACGGGGAGAGAAGAGCAGAGGTGAGTTGACCCTCAAACCAGCACAAACAAAAGATTATCTGCAGATTATCAGCTTTATCACAATCAAATCAACACGCTGACTCATGTCTATATCTAGAACTTCGCAAGTCTTTAAGGAGTTTCGAGGGCGTTTTTAAGGGATATGAATTAGTAAATGTCTTATCAAAAACACATTCTGAAGTGTTTCACTTTATATTATATTTTTGGTCACACTTTACAATAAGGTTCATTAGTTAATGTTAATTAATGCATTTACTAACATGAACAAACAATGAAAGGTACATTTACTACAGTATTTATTGATGTCAGTTAACGTTAGTTAATGAAAATACAGTTGTTCATTGTTAGTTCAAGTTAAATCATGGTGCATTAACTAATGTTAACAAGCATGGACCTGGATGTTAAAAATGCATTAGAAGGTGTTCAATTATGATTAATAAATGCTGTACAAGTGTTTTTTTATGATTAGTTCATGTTAGTAAATGCATTAACTAATAAACCTTATTGTAAAGTGTTACCATGTTTTTCATGTGTTCAATTAAATCAATTTAGTGCTTGAGAAATATTTATCACACTTTCATTTACATCATTTGGTAGAAATTGTGATAACTTGAGGTTCGTTTAGAAAATTTATTCTCTAACATTTTCAATATTTTAATAATTTAAAATATTTTACCGTTACTTTTGATCTATTTAATGCACTCTTAACTGAATTAGCAGTGAATCGACGAGAAAATTTGCAGTTTCTCAAGATTTACAATTTATTTATTAGGGTAGATATTTAGTTTAGTTGATTTAGTTAGTTTTGTTCATGTTTTTATTTTATTCTGTAAGTTACTGATACAATTTCCAACTAATTTAAAAACAGATATGTCATTCACAGCTTCTTTTGTTTGCATATTAAGTTTTCAGGCTTTTATAATTACTTTCAGATAATACAATACCAAAGTTTTCCTTTTAGAAGAGTTAAGAAATCTGAGATTTGTTGGAGCAACCCTCATTTTTAAAATCACAACTAATAAAAACATAAATCTACATTCAAAGCTAAAAAAATGGTAATGCATTCATATATGTCAAGCAAAACTAAACCCAGTTTAAACAGAAAAACTAAAGTAAAACTAAACAGTTTATCAAAATGCCTTCAGTTATTAATCAAATTGAGCGAACAGTAAATATATTCAGAACTACTGGCACTTTGAGACAATTAAAACACAAAAAAAGTTTAAATAAAAATTTAACCAAATTTAACTCAATGTAACCCCATCAGTCAGAATCACTCACCTTCTCTCTCGATCTCAAACACACTGATGGCGTCCTGCGGGGTGAGATTTCGAAACTCGCTGGCCGGTAACGTGTGTCGTCTTTGCCGCCGTGGACTGGAAACGCTGATGGGTGTCTTCAGAAAGAAGGGTTTGAGGAAGGGTGAGCTGACGACCTGCGGTGCCATCATCTGACACGCGCACACTTTAGACAATACTGTACTGACCAAACTAACCCGAGCTCCTGACTTTTAGGAAACTTCAGTCTGTCTGTTGGTGGATTTGTCTGCTCGTCTCAGTGGTGTGATGTGTTTGAATCCTATCACCTCTCCTCGCCTTTAACCCTCCCCTCATCCCGTCTGTTTTCCAGCCCGCCCCTGATCTCCTAAAGTGCGCACACGTGCCAGGTGAAGATGCAGCAATTCCCTAAAAGTCTGTGAGCTGAAAGCCTGTGGTACTCAACGCGCAGCTGATCAGCCTCTCCAAACACTTACCAGAAACTGTTTGTACAGCCAGAGAAAGCTTTGCGCTGGTTAAGCCAGTCCTGCTTGCTTTTTCATATCTGCAGTTTCCAAATTCATCAAGCCGCAGAGAATTAAGACAGTGAGAACTAGTCATGGGTCATGGATGAGATTGTCAGATGATAAATAAAACCCACAGGTACAATTAACAGAAGTGTTATAGTCCTAACTTCGGAATGAAGCTCCAAAAAATAAAACATCTATTAGAGCTGTGGACAAATACACATTTGAGAAATTGCTTCTGCATCACTTCTGAGAATATCAAACTGCTCTCTTGAATTGATTCTGAGCTTAGTTTTTAACAGCAGATGGTGCTCTAGGCTACTCTAGTTTTTACCAGAACTTGTTGCTCTAGGCTACACTTGGTTTTTAACAGCAGATGGCAATCCAGGTTAGTTTTTAACAGCAGAAGGCGCTCTAGGCTACTCTAGTTTTTACCAGAACTTGTTGCTCTAGGCTACACTTGGTTTTTAACAGCAGATGGCAATCCAGGTTAGTTTTTAACAGCAGATGGCGCTCTAGGCTACTCTAGTTTTTACCAGAACTTGTTGCTCTAGGCTACACTTGAGCTGCGTCCCAAATGGCACACTATACACTATGCACTCATGCACTATGTACTTATGCACTTACACACTCAACAGGGTAGTATATGTATGTAGTGTCGTCCCAAATGGCACACTAATGTTTTTTTACTAAGCGGAAATTCAAACCGTTTCCCTGATGACGTTTGACGGTCGCCAAATCATTGAAGTAAACGGCCGAATTATCAAATAATACCTGCCGTGAGTATTGCCGCAATCACTATCGGGAGGCGCTATAATCACTCTCGTAAAAGAATTTTGCTTTCACTATCCAAATTAAATAAAGTTATTCAACATGTGCGTCCGATAGCTCCGCCCCTTCCGCTACGTAAGCAAACCTGCGGTCGTTGAGTGCGTGAAGTGTCCATCATTACACACTTCATTTTACTGGCTGAATGAGTGCATCATCCGGGTAATTAAAGTGCACTTATTATTTTTAGAGTTTTCAGTGTGAACGCACTACTTACACTATTTATACTACAAAATGGCGTAGAATAGTGCATAAGTATGCGATTTGGGACGCAGCTTTGGTTTTTAACAGCAGATGGCAATCCAGGTTAGTTTTTAACAGCAGATGGCGCTCTAGGCTACTCTAGTTTTTACCAGAACTTGTTGCTCTAGGCTACACTCGGGTTTTAACAGCAGATGGCAATCCAGGTTAGTTTTTAACAGCAGATGGCGCTCTAGGCTACTCTAGTTTTTACCAGAACTTGTTGCTCTAGGCTACACTTGGTTTTTAACAGCAGATGGCAATCCAGGTTAGTTTTTAACAGCAGATGGCGCTCTAGGCTACTCTAGTTTTTACCAGAACTTGTTGCTCTAGGCTACACTTGGTTTTTAACAGCAGATGGCAATCCAGGTTAGTTTTTAACAGCAAATGGCGCTCTACGCTACTCTAGTTTTTACCAGAACTTGTTGCTCTAGGCTACACTCGGGTTTTAACAGCAGATGGCAATCCAGGTTAGTTTTTAACAGCAGATGGCGCTCTAGGCTACTGTAGTTTTTACCAGAACTTGTTGCTCTAGGCTACACTTGGTTTTTAACAGCAGATGGAAATCCAGGTTAGTTTTTAACAGCAGATGGCGCTCTAGGCTACTCTAGTTTTTACCAGAACTTGTTGCTCTAGGCTACACTTGGTTTTTAACAGCAGATGGCAATCCAGGTTAGTTTTTAACAGCAGATGGCGCTCTAGGCTACTCTATTTTTTACCAGAACTTGTTGCTCTAGGCTACACTTGGTTTTTAACAGCAGATGGCAATCCAGGTTAGTTTTTAACAGCAGATGGCGCTCTAGGCTACTCTAGTTTTTACCAGAACTTCAGGTTAGTTTTTAACAGCAGATGGCGCTCTAGGCTACTCTAGTTTTTACCAGAACTTGTTGCTCTAGGCTACACTTGGTTTTTAACAGCAGATGGCAATCCAGGTTAGTTTTTAACAGCAGATGGCGCTCTAGGCTACTCTAGTTTTTACCAGAACTTGGTGCTCTAGGCTACCATAGTTTTTAACAGCAGATGGCAGTCCAGTTTAGTTTTTAACAGAAGATGGCGCTCTAGGCTACTCTAGATTTTACCAGAACTTGCTGCTCTAGGCTACACTTGGTTTTTAACAGCAGATGGCAATCCAGGTTAGTTTTTAACAGCAGATGGCGCTCTAGGCCACTCTAGTTTTTACCAGAACTTGTTGCTCTAGGCTACACTTGGTTTTTAACAGCAGATGGCAATCCAGGTTAGTTTTTAACAGCAGATGGCGCTCTAGGCTACTCTAGTTTTTACCAGAACTTGTTGCTCTAGGCTACACTTGGTTTTTAACAGCAGATGGCAATCCAGGTTAGTTTTTAACAGCAGATGGCGCTCTAGGCTACTCTAGTTTTTACCAGAACTTGTTGCTCTAGGCTACACTTGGTTTTTAACAGCAGATGGAAATCCAGGTTAGTTTTTAACAGCAGATGGCGCTCTAGGCTACTCTAGTTTTTACCAGAACTTGGTGCTCTAGGCTACCTTAGTTTTTAACAGCAGATGGCAATCCAGTTTAGTTTTTAACAGCAGATGGCGCTCTAGGCTACTCTAGTTTTTACCAGAACTTGTTGCTCTAGGCTACACTTGGTTTTTAACAGCAGATGGCAATCCAGGTTAGTTTTTAACAGCAGATGGCGCTCTAGGCCACTCTAGTTTTTACCAGAACTTGTTGCTCTAGGCTACACTTGGTTTTTAACAGCAGATGGCAATCCAGGTTAGTTTTTAACAGCAGATGGCGCTCTAGGCTACTCTAGTTTTTACCAGAACTTGTTGCTCTAGGCTACACTTGGTTTTTAACAGCAGATGGCAATCCAGGTTAGTTTTTAACAGCAGATGGCGCTCTAGGCTACTCTAGTTTTTACCAGAACTTGTTGCTCTAGGCTACACTTGGTTTTTAACAGCAGATGGCAATCCAGGTTAGTTTTTAACAGCAGATGGCGCTCTAGGCTACTCTAGTTTTTACCAGAACTTCAGGTTAGTTTTTAACAGCAGATGGCGCTCTAGTCTACTCTAGTTTTTACCAGAACTTGTTGCTCTAGGCTACACTTGGTTTTTAACAGCAGATGGCAATCCAGGTTAGTTTTTAACAGCAGATGGCGCTCTAGGCTACTCTAGTTTTTACCAGAACTTGGTGCTCTAGGCCACCATAGTTTTTAACAGCAGATGGCAATCCAGGTTAGTTTTTACCGGCAGATGGTGCTCTAGACTAGTTTTAACAGAAAATGAGATTCTAGACTAGGTTTTACCACCAGATGGCGTTCTGGACTACCTTAGTTTTTAACACAAGGTGGCAGTCTAGGTTAGTTTTTACCACCAGATGGTGTTCTAGGCTACTTTAGTTTTTACTAGCAGATGGTGCATTAGGCTAGTTTTTAACATAAAATGGCATTCTAGGCTAGCTTTTAACAGCAGATGGCGCTCTAGGCTATGCCAGTTTTTAACAGCACGTGGCACTCTAGGATAGATTTTAACAGCAGATGGTGCTCCAAGTTAGTCAATACTTTTATGACTTCTAGGCTGGACTACTCTAATGCTCTGTTTGCAGGCTGCCCAGCATCCTCTATTAACAAACTTCAATTAGTACAAAATGCAGCTGCCAGAGTTCTTACCAGGTCTAGAAAATATGATCATATCACCCCAATTTTATCCTCCTTACACTGCCTGTTAAGTTTCGTATGGAATTTGAAATATTGCTTCTTACCTATAAAGCTTTAAATAATCTAGCTCCTGTTTATCTAATCAACCTTCTGTCTCGCTACCATCCAACCCGCTCTTTAAGATTTCAAAACTCAGGGCTTCTGGTAGTACCTAGATTAGCAAAGTCGAGTAAAGGAGGTGGAACCTTCTCATTCATGGCTCCTAAACTTTGGAATACCCTTCCTGAAAACGTCCGAGGCTCAGACACACTCTCCCAATTCAAAACTAGATTAAAGACTATCTGTTTAGTAAAGCATACACTCAGGGCATCACTTTACGGGTTTCCACAAAGGTTTCTGCATCTTGTTTATATACACTATTGAACAGCAGCTACGCTAATTATTCTCTTTATTCTCCATTTCCACCTGGGGATACTCATTCTGAGGCCCTCAGACTATGCAGAGTCACTGATTCGATCCAAGACCAGTGACGAGATGATCCCAAGGTTTCCATATCCGGGACCAGGCTGTATTCTAAGCAGCTGCTGTGGTGGTCAAGGAGGAGTGAAGAGCATGAGACTGAATCCTGTGACCCTCTAGGGACAGACGAGTCTTCGCTGTGGTCCAGCTTCCAGCCTCCGCTCTAGGCTTCCTTAGTTTTTACCAACAGATGGCGCTCTAGGATCGTTTTTTTTAACAGAAAATGGCATTCTAGGTAAATTTTTTACCAGCAGATGGTGCCCTAGACTACCTTAGTTTTTAAAAGCAGATGACACTTTAAGTTAGTTTTTACCACCAGATGGTGCTCTAGGCTACTTTAGTACCTTAGTTTTTAAAAGCAGATGCTGCTCTTGGATAGGTTTTACCAGCAGATGGCGGTTTAGGCAAGTTTTTATCAGAAAATGGCATTCTAGGCCACTTTTTAAAAACAGAAGTTGCTCTAGGCTACCCTAGTTTTAACAGCACTCCAGGTTAGTTTTTAAGAGCACTGAGTGCTCTAGACTAGTTTTTTTTTTACCAGCAGATGGCACT